AGCAGAGAGCATCCACATCCGACTCATATCTCTTTCTGACGTTGCCTAAGGTTTGTTCTGTGTTTGGAAGGTCACTCAGCAAAGGGCCTGGTTTGGCATGCCACTGAAACTGACATGGGATTGCGAAAAGGGCTCTCATCTCTCTCTGGTCTCCTCTGTGAAGCAGGTTTAGGTAAAGACCCTTAGGCCAGTGGCCAAGAAGAGGTGTCTTTGAATACCTGAAGGTGGTGCTGGGAGGAAGCAGTGGGAGGAAGTGCTTGGGAAGAGAGAGCCAGACTGGGGACCAGAGCAGAGAGAGGCACAAGTGGCTTCCCTAAGACCAAAGGCCACAGAGGCTATATGTTGGGAACTTAATGGTCTGAACATGCTCTGTTGCCCAGGCTGGAGTACACTGGCGCCATCTTGGCTCATTACAACCTCGATCTTGGCTCACTGCAACCTCCACCTCTCGGGTTCAAGCTATTCTCCTGCCTCAGCCTTCCAAGTAGCTACAACTACAGGCGTGAGCCACCATATCCGGCTAATTTTTGTATTTTTTAGTAGAGACAGGGTTTTGCCACGTTGGTCAGGCTGGTCTCGAACTCCTGACCTCAGGTGCTCTGCCTGCCTTGGCCTGTCAAAGTGCTGGGATTACAGGTGGGAGCTACCATTCCTGGCCCAGAGACATTCGTTCATTCATTCCACAAATACTGATGAAGCATTTATTATGAACTAATATCTGAGCCAGGTCTCCCAACTGCAGAGCTAAGTAAAACCCTGTCCCTGCTGGCAGGGAGCTGAGAGTTGAGCAGGAATTCAGACAAGTCCACACTTACAAATTCACTTGATAACTGCTGGCATGAGGGAAGCTGAAGAAGAACCTGTGTAGGAAGGACAGGAGAACCTTATACAGAAGGTGTCCAAGTTGAGCGGGAGGTGGGATGTGGTGTCTCACGTCTATAATCTCAGTGCATTGGGATACACAGGTGGGAGGATCACTTGAAGTCAGGAGTTTGATACTAGCCTGGGTAACATAGGGAGACCCCCATCTCTGCAAAAAATTAAGAAAATTAACCAGGCATGGTGGCACTCCCCTCTAGTCCCTGCTACTTGGGGGGCTGAGGCAGGAGGATCACTTGAGCTCAGGAATCCGAGGCTGCAGTGAGCTATGATCACAGCACTGCGCTCCAACCTGAGTGACACAGTAAGAATCCACCTCAAGAAAAAAAAAATTGTCGAGGCCAGGCACAGTGGCTCATGTTTGTAATTCCAGCACTTTGGGAGGCAGAGGTGGGCAGATCACTTGAGGTCAGGAGTTCAAGACAAGCCTGGTCAACATGGTGAAACTCCGTCTCTACTAAAAACACAAAAATTAGCTAGGCGTGGTGGCACGTGCCTGTAATCCCAGTTACTCGGGGGGCTGAGGCAGGAGAATCACTTGAACCCGGGAGGCGGAGGTTGTAGTGAGCCAATATTGTTCCACTGCACTCCAGCCTGGGTGACAGAGTGAGACTCCATCTCAAAAGACAAAAAAACATGGAATGGGCCTAGGCAGGTAAACCAGAAGAGGCTAGAGGGGAAGGCAGATGCGATTAGGAAGGGCCCTGGATGCTGCGGTGAGGAGCTGGGCCGTACCTGGGGGTGAAGGAAAGCCTCACGCTGTGTAGTCAGTTATACTCCCCTCTTTCTGGTAGATGCAGAATAAACTACAACAGGCAAGAGCGGAGCAGGGAGCACAGTGCCGAGCTGCTACTAGGACCCAGATGAGATAGTGAGGAGGCCTGAAGAAGTGGACAGACTTTAGAGACATGAAGGATGGAGAATTAAAGGGACATGAAATAACCAAGCACCATCAGGCTAGCGAGCTCCTGCTGGAGACAGAGCCACTGGATTCTAGTGCTTGATGTCACTGAGAGTGGAAAAAGGGAACTAACCCCCACTGCTCTGTCTCATGCCTACCAAGCAACCTCCTGATTATAATTGGGCTTCCCATGTAGCTCTGCCTATGGGAAGAGACTGAACTGCTGGGGTGGAGGCCAGGGCTGTGGTCTTGCTCTAAGTCAATCAACTGCCATTCTGGTTGTAGCTATCTGTCTTAGGAAGCTGGGATACTTGGAGACACAGACCAGCCCTTGGTTTGCCAACGACTCTGTTCCTGAGCTTGAGGGGCTGCAGTCCTTCAAGCTTGAGGAGCTTGAGTGGGCAGGGGGCGGGGTCATCATGGATATGTCACCCTGTAGGGCCCTTGCGGGGTGGTCAACAGGCTTCTCCCAAGGGTACCCTGTTAGAGCTCATGCCTGTCATCTAAGCTCTTTGAGGGGCCAAGGCAAGGGGGTCATTTGAGGCCAGGGGTTCAAGCCCAGCCTGGCGCAACACAGAGAGACTTCATTTCTACAAAAAATTAAAAAAATTAGCTGGGCATGGTGGCATGTGCCTGTAGTCCCAGCTTCTCAGGAGGCAGAGGCAGGAAGACTGCTTAAGCCTAGAAGGTCGAGGCTGTAGTGAGCCATGATCGCACCACTGCACTGCAGCCTCGGTGACAGAACAAGACACTGTCTCTCAATTACAATAATGATAAATAGAAAATATTACGGCTGTGGGTCTTGTTGCTATCTGGAGGTGCTCTGTCCTACAATGGGAAAATCCCAGAACTACATGCCACTCAGGAATGTGGTTGACAAGAACAAATAACTCAGGGAAGTCACGGACATGGCATTCACATCATTTAACATTAGATATGGCTGGCTGCAGTAGCTCATGCCTGTAATCCCAGCACTTTGGGAGGCTGAGGCAGGTGGATCACCTGAGGTCAGGAGTTCAAGGCCAGCCTGGCCAACATGGGGAAACCCTGTCTCTACTGAAAATACAAACTTAGCCAGACATGGTAATGGGTGCCTGTAATCCCAGGTATTTAGGAGGCTGAGGCAGAAAAATCACTTCAACCCAGAAGACAGTGGTTGTAGTAAGCTGAGATCATGCCACTGCACTCCAGTCTGGGCGACAAGAGGGAGACTCTATCTCAAAAAAAAGAAAAAATTAGATACGAAAGGAATCATTTCAGTGGCATTAAATGTCCTCTCTCGCTTTATTCCCCATTACAGAACAGTCTCCGCGGTGGTGCTGATGCCATCTTGACACTGTTTCCTTGTCATCAAGATGGTTTTCTGCACCAACTCAAGCATAGCGTGAAATTTCAAAGGCCTTAATAGAAGTTTTCTAACTTTATCTCCACGGAACAGCTGGAAAACGTCTCCAATTATGTGAGCTTTTTCCAAAATGTCTTGAAAATACAGAAGGGTCGGTCGGTTGCGGTGGCTCATGCCTGTAATCCCAGCAGTTTGGGAGGCCAAGGAGGGTGAATCACTTGAGGTCAGGAACTTGACACCAGCCTGGCCAATGTGGTGGAACCCCGTCTCTAATAAAAATACAAAATTAGCTGGGCATGGTGGTCAGCACCTACAATCCCAGCTACTTGGGAGGCTGAGGCATGAGAATTACCTGAACCCAGGAGGCAGAGTGAGCCAAGATTGTGGTACTGCACTCCAGCCTGGGGAACAGAGTGAAACTCTGTCTCCACCCCCGCCCCAACCCCCAAAAAAGAAGAAAATACAGAAGGATCTTTTGTACTTTTCACAAGTAAATGCAAATATACGTAATACTCAAAGATGAAAAGAAGAGTATCAGAACGTTTCTGTTTTAATGAATACTTGCTACTGGATCAGGCCACCTGTCTCCCACTAACCCATAACAAATAATAAATATATTTAAACTCTTGAAGTGTTTGGTGAAAGTAAGCCCTGGTGGCTGCATATGGTGACTCACGCCTATAATCCTAGCACTTCTGCAGGCCAAGGCAGGTAGACCACTGGAGGTCAGGAGTTTGAACTCAAGCAATTGAACACCTGGCCAAGATGGTGAAACCCCATCTCTACTGAAAACGCAAAAATCAGCCAGGTGTGGTGGCTCACACCTATAATCCCAGCTACTCGGGAGGCTGGGGAGAATTGCTTGAATCCAGGAGGCAGAGGTGGAGCCGAGACAGCACCACTGTGCTCCAGCCTGGGCAAAAGAGCAAGACTTTGTCTCAAAAAAAAAGTAAGCCCTGAAGGATCTGAAAGGAAGAATGATGACAAAGAGAAGACTCAGAACAGTTGTCAAAATCGGAATCTGTCAAGTTACTGGTAACCCAGGGAGACCGCCTAGAACACAATGTTTCTCTTAAAAGGCCCATGATGGCTGCTGCCACAAAGATAAAGGAGGTGGGTGGGCGAATGCCTTAGAGCGCCTTCAGAAGCTGAGGTGTGACCTCTGGAAATGGAGTGTCTTCATTCTGTGTGTGCACACGTGTGTCACATGTATGACTGGAGGCAAAAGATGGGACTAAATCCATTACTGTCTCCTGAGTCTGAAGAACTTAATCCACCTTGCCAGAGGAAAACTGGTGATGGCCTGTGAACTGTACACTAAAGTCACATCCCAGGATTTCCTGGGTCACAGCTGATCAAGACGGGTGGGAAGCTTGGCTCTTAAAGATTGTCTGCCCTTGAGCAAGGGCCTGCTTCCCAGAGAAGTAAGAAAAGATGTCCCTGGCACCTTGCCTTCTCCTAAGGCACGTGCAAGCCACATTCACACCCACCTGCACCACCCGGTCTGCTTCTCCACTAAACCCCTCCCGCCACCTCCAGAACCCCGATCTTCAACTGTGCAAGCAGCTATGGCACACACTGAGTACTTAGGCTAGGGGCTGCTCTCCATGTCTTGCAGGCCTTTCTTATTTAATCCTCAAAACCATCCTGCAAGAGAGCTACTACTACTATTCCTGTTTTACAGACAAGGAAATCCAGACACAAGAATATCAGGTAGCCAGGTGTGCAGCCTGCGAGTCCAAGAGCTGGGCTCAGAACCCCCGGCCTAGGCCCCTCTCCCTTTTTGCCACATTGCATAGGGATGGGAGAAGGATCTGGAAATGCCGTCTCTAGACTTGCCCTTCCTCCCCGAAACTCGTGGCCCGGGGGCTCTACCTGCGTGGATGAACTTGTCTGCCAACCTCTTCCGAGCGGGCTTGCTGAGGTTGAAGTAGCAGTCGTCATCCTCGTCGATGCTCTCCAGGAACAGAGGGATGTGCTGGAAGACGATGGCGTGCTGGCAGTTCTGCTGCCTCGCGGTGCTCAGCTGTTCATCCAGCCACTGGTCTTGTGCCTGCTTCAGGCCAGGGCATTTGGAGGGGTTCTCGTAGAACTGGGAGTTGAGGACCAGGAACAGCACACCTCCGACCCAGAAGCTAAAGTAGTCATCTCCCCAAGTCTGGCAGAACTCCTCAACGGTCTCGGCTGTGGGGACATTGCCAATGTCATGATTGCCGCTGACGAGGACCAGTGGGATGGCCCTGTCCACGGTCCTGAGCACTCGCTGCAGGTCCTCGGTCTGCTCCTTCCGCCATGGCTTCCCTGGAAGAGCGAGGGTCAGGTCCTGAGACAGCCAGAGGCTTACTAACTTAATAACTAACTTAAGTACTTACCAACATAAAATTAAGAGAGAATAATCTAGAAATTAACTCCATATGGCACAGGGAAACTGCAAAATGCAGTCATGTGCTACAAGCAAATCAACAAGTCCGGTGGGGGCCTCTGCCCATCCTTCTTCAGGACACCTTAGTGATTCAATGTCTACACGGCCCCCTGCCCCATGTTGCTGAGTTGATGGTGTGAAGCCAATCCTGAGATTAAATATTAGTGGGCTGGGTGCAGTGGCTCATGCCTATAATCCCAGCACTTTGGGACGCTGAGGTGGGAGGGATCTCTTGAGCCCAAGACTTCCAAGACAAACCTGGGTATTATAGTGAGATCCTATCTTCATAAAAAAGAAAATTAGGTCAGATCTTTCCTTGCCTCTCTCCCTTCCTTCCCTCCTTTCCTTCCTTTTCCCAAGTTTATGTACAATTTTCATTTAAAAAAAAAGAAGAGTGCAAAGGTTTTAGCCCCATGGATCTAGGGCTTAAAGATTGAGGAAGCCAGCCGGGTGGCTGGAATGAACATTTGGACTAGGAGCCCCAGGACCAGCTTGGACTACAGACAAACCCGACTCAGACCAGCCTCAGACCAGCCATGAGGCCAGCTTGGACTACAGACAAACCCCCAGCACCCTGAAAATGAGGACTCTCAGTCCCTGGAACAGACAGGACATACTTCTAATGGAGGCTGAGCAGGCTGGACTTTGGACCCCAGCTCCTGCTGCAGCCATCAGCCAGCCTTTCCTGAACCTATTCCACTGGTCCCAGAGATGGAAAGTGGCCGCATGGCCTGAAGCCCAGTGCAGGGAGCCTTGGGGAGAAGCAGGTTCTGCCTGTACCAGGTACCAGGAAGCCTCTCTCTCAGTGGTGCTGGGGGTTCATTCACCCACTGTCCACATCGAAGGTGTCATTGACTGACATTGCTTCTTTAGCTGAACTGGGACTGCAGGCATCTGTGTTGACTTATATATGATCCTGTCTCAGACTCCACTGGCTGGTTCTTTTCCCAAGCTAGTCAAGGGAAGACAAGTCCTTTGTGGCTTTGAACACAGCAAACTCTCTCAAAGAGACCCTTGTGGCCCAAGGCTGATTCATCACCACTTTCCTCACCGGATTTTCTTAAAGACCTCCAAAGCGCCCCTTTCACTTCCTCTTCTTTCTGTTCACACTGACTTGGGGATTTGGGGATATTCAATCACTGACAATACTTCTTAACACTTCCTACAGGCCACGCACTGATCGCAGAGCTGTGTGTGCACCGACTTGCTTCCTCTGACACCCAGTCGAGTAATGGGGATTTGAACTTGGTGGCCTAGCTCAGGGTACTGTCTACACTGCCCTGGTCACAAACTAAGGTCCTTGCTCTCTGGGTGACTTCTCTTGGCTGCCCTGAGGCACAGGATGAGGACTTCATAATACACTGGGGTACAGAATATCTCCTGTTCTTGATTTTCAAGGGCATTAGCCATGGCCCTTTGCACGCTAACTGAGGTAGATATGGAAAATGTCCACAGACTTAACGGCCATAAGCAGAAAAGTTAAGAAGGGGCAGTTCAAAAGAAAGGCTTACTTGGGAAGGAAACTTTATCTACGAAGCAACCAAGAAGGAAGAGCTGGGAATTACACACAGTCGCGTGAAGTTTGCTTCTAAACAAAGAGGGATGCTGCTTTTAGGGAAACCATCAATATCCCCCAATAATCTGTTAAAAAAACAAAAAAACAAAAAACCATGCAGCTCATTTTCCCTGAATTTCCTCCAGCAAAGATGAGCCTGGTGGCTGGGCGTAGTGATTCATGCCTATAATCCCAGCACTTTGGGAGGCGAAGGCGGACAGATCACTTGAGGTCAAAAGTTCAAGACCAGCCTGGCCAATATGGTGAAACGCCATCTCTACAAAAAGTAGAAAAATCAGCTGGGTGTGGTGGCACATGCCTGTTGTCCAGCTACTTGGGAGGATAAGGCAGGAGAATCCCTTTAACCTGGGAGGCGGAGGCTGCAGTGAGCTGAGATCGTGCCACTGTACTCCAGCCTGGGCAAGACAGAGAGATTCTGTCTCAAAAAAAGTGTTTATTTATATATTGTTTAAAAAAAGAAAAAAGATGAACCTCTTTCTTGAGCAGCTTCTCCAACGCTTTCTACACCTCTTGCATGGAGTCCCAAGTGCTGAGGTGGAGTGAGTGTGCTCTGGGGTTGGTCTCTTGCCCCTTACAAGCTGCATGGCTTGGGTACATTCCTTGGTTCCTCTTAGTCTTGGTTTCATTGTGTATGAAATGGGCATGATAACTCTCATACCTTGGGAATGGCTGTAAGAATGCATACTAAGATAATGACGTCTACAGTCTGGTACAAACAGGAATGCAAAGCTGTCAGTTGTCTGCTCTCCACATCCCAGCCCCCTAAATGTAATAAATGCTCCCGTTTTTGTCAGTGACCCACTGTGTGTGCATAACAACCAGTAAATTGTTTGGGAAGGAATGAAAATCTTCCCCAGGGAGAGAAATAGTTTTTAGTTCATAATTTAGAAATAAAAGAGTAAATCCTAGATTACAAAAAGCCAAATTTAATGCAAACATTTGCATGATCTTTAACAAGCTCCCATTTGCATATATCAGAATCTCTGTAGGGTTACAATATTAACAACAACTTAGTATTAAGAAAGATCATAGCACAGCTTACTAAAAAATAGTCCCATTATGGCCAGACGCAGTGACTCATGCCTATAATCCCAGCACTTTGGAAGGCCAAGGCGGGCAGATCACTTGAGGTCAGGAGTTCAAGACCAGCCTGACTAACATGGCAAAACCTCCACCTCTACTAAAAGTTCAAAAATTAGCGGGGTGTGGTGGCATGTACCTGTAATCCCAGCTACTCAGGAGGCTGAGGCAGGAGAAATGCTTGGACCCAGGAGGCAGAAGTTTCAGCGAGCCAAGAGCGCGCCACTGCACTCTAGCCTGGGCAACAGTCCCATCGTATATGAGAACCCAAAGCCAAAAGCCAACCTCACCAGCATCATGAACAGAAAAAATTGAAACCTTCCCAAGGACACAGAGCTTCGAGTTCTTGTCTCAAGCAGGGTTCTGTGTTCACAAAAAGAATGTATATAAAGGATAGGAAGAAAGGTAGGGAAACAAGGGGAAAGATTCTGAAAAATGTCAAGAAATGACTTAGAAGAGGGACAGAGAAGGATTGTTCTGGGTGGGTCTCCAAAGTGGATGATAGGTATCTGCCAAGAAGTGGGTGCCAAGAGTACAGGAACCCCAATATCAGCACACACCTGACCCCCATGAAGAGAAGTCTTGGGTAGGAATGGCAGGAGCGGTGTGGAAAGCTGTTAAGTGTTTAAAACACTTAAAAAAATCTTTTTTAAGCAATCAGTTAAAATAAAACTAGGACCTCCTAGTTTTATTGGAGGTCCTAATTCTATTTTAATTTAATGGTACACTCAAGGACATTAAAAAGCATTATAACGATAATTACAAAATTCTTACATCAGTGGTACCCTGAGAGGTATGATTTATTTTTGTCAGTATTCATTAAGGCAGACATTAGTGTCTTGGTTGTTTTCCAAATAGCCTTAAAATACACCGGCTGATAAAATCTCTTTGTGAATTAGGAAAAGAAATAAACAATCTTAATTGGATAAACGACATCCATAAACAAGTATAGCTATGATCATACTTATTGGTGAAAGACTGACTGCCTTCTCCCTGACATCAGGAACAGGAGGTCTGCTCTCACACTCTCACTGAACATCATACTATAAATTCTAGTCAGTGCAATAGGCAGGAAGAAAGGAAGGAAGCAAAGAAGGGAAGGAAGGAAGGACATACAGGTGAGAAAGAAATCAAACAGTCTATTCTCAGAAGACATGACTGTCTTCATAGTAAAATCTCAAATAATCTACAAAAAATAAAAATAAAATAAAACAAAACATCAAAGAATCCTAGCACTAATAAGAGAAATCAGCTTGGATGCAAAGTAAATATATAAAAATCAATAGTATTTCTATATCCTAACAAAAAAAAATTAGAGATTTAACAAGAAGGATTTAAGAGATATTTAGGAGGTAGAACTGACAAAAATCCTCATTGTACTAGTTACAGGAAGGACTCAAAATTAATTACCAAACATCTGAGCAACTGGGAGGCTGGTCATGTTGTTTATTTACAGGGAAAAGAGTAGGACAGAAACAGGTTACAGGTAGAAATCAAAAGCTCATTCTGAATATAAAATCTGATGTATTGTTACAGGCAAAAAAAGGGGAAAACAGACAAACTGGACCTCATGAAAACTTAAAACTTTGTGCATCAAAAGACACTATCAACAGAGAAAATAATGTAAACCACAGAATGGGAGAAAATATTCTCAAATTAAATATCTGATAGGGAATTCTATCAGAGTATACAGAGAACTCCTAAAACACAACAACCACTAAAACAACCCAACAGGACAAAAGTGGACAAAGGATTGAATAGACATTTCTCCAAAGAGGATATACAAATGGCTACTAAGGACATTAAAAAGGTGCCCAGCATCACTAATCATTGGAGATCAAATGATTAGTGCAAATCATGCAAATCAAAACCACAATGAGACACCATCTCACACCTATGAGGACAGCCAGTCTCAAAGAGACAGAAAATAACAGGTATTGGTGAGGATGTGGAGAAGTTGGAAACCTTGTACACTGTTGATGGGAATGAAAAATGGTGTAGCCACTGTGGAAAACAACATGGTGGTCCCCCCCAAAAATTAAACATAGAATTACCATATAATCCAATAATTCTCTATCTGGGTATGTTCCCAAAATAACTGAAAGCAGGGTCTCAAAGAGACATTTGGACACATACCTATAACAACAGTAGCATTATTCACAATAGCTTAAACAGGGAAGCAACCCAAATCCCACCGACAGATGAATGGATAAGCAAACTGTG